AAAATTCTTTCCCAGTTTTCTGCTTCCCTCCTAATCTTGGTTGCATTGACTTTGTTTGTGCAAAAACTTTTCAATTTGATGTAATCAAAATTATCCATTTTGCATTTTATAATGTTCTCTATCTCCTGTTCGGTCATGAATTCTTCTGTATGTAATGGGGATAAGCTAGAAGCATTTTCAGTAAGATCAGGAGTTAAACAAGGATATCCATTATTATACTCTTGTTCAGTATGATACTGGAAAGGTTAGCTTTAGCAATAAGAGAAGAAAAAGAAGTTGAAGGTATTAGAATAGGCAAAGAAGAAACAAAGCTGTCACTCTATGCAGATGATATGATGATATATTTAGAAAATCCTGGAGAATCAAGTAAAAACTACTTGAAATAATAAACAACTTGAGCAAAGTTGCAGGCTATAAAATAAACCCACTTAAACATCGGCATTTCTGTATATTACCAACAGAGCCCAGCAGCAAGAGATAGAGAGAGAAATTCCATTTAAATTTACTGTAGACATTATAAAATTTATAGGAGTTTACCTGCCTAAACAAACCCAGGAACTATATGAACACAATTACAAAACACTTTTCACACAAATAAAATTAGCTCTAAATGATTGGAAAAACATCAGTTGCTCATAGGTAGGCCTAGCTAATATAATAAAAATGACAATTCTACCTAAGCTTATTTACTTATTCAGTGACATACCATTCGAAATACCAAAAAATTATTTTATAGAGCTAGAAAAAATAATAAGATTCATTTGGAATAACAAAAGGTCCAGAATATCAAGGGAACTAATGAAAAGAAATGCAGGGGAAGGTGGTCTAGCAATTCCAGATCTTAAATTGTATTATAAAGCAGCAATCATCAAAACTACTTGAGACTGGCTAAGAAATAGAGTGGTAGATCAGTGGAATGTGTTAGGTATGCAAGACCCAGTATTCTGCAAGCATTATTAATCACCTCCAGTGTACCAGAGACTGTGCTAGATGCTGAAGATACAAAAATAAAGCAGTCATTGCCTTCACGGTGCTTGTATTCTGTCAGAACAAACCTTGGGAGAAGGCACAATAGCTGGGGGAACCAGGAAAGACGACGAGTAGAAGACCGATGGGGATTCTTGTTGTGGTTTGTCCTTTGTACTGAAGAGGACCAAAATGATAGGACAATGTCTGGGTCAATGTACAGTGTATCCAGCTGTGGATGGTCATACCAAAAGCTTTAACTCAGGTCTGGTACAAATAGTCTCTGACCATTTGAAAGGGAGATGTCTCTAAATTTGTGCATCTCACGTTTCTTTTGAGCTACTGCAATTCTCTTTTGCTCATAGAGCATAGCACCTTCTGTGATGTGGGCACAGCATGCTGGATGATTCTTTGCCACTGTTTCCCATGTCTCACAATCAATACCAATATTCTTCAGAGAGACCTTGATGGTGTCCTTATATTGCTTCATCTAACCATCATGTGAGCATCGGCCTTGTGTGAGTTCTCCATAAAACAGTCTTTTAGGAAAACTTACATTTAGCATCTGAACAGTGAGGCCAGCCCATTCAAGTTGTGCTCTCTGCAGTAGGTTTGAGTGCTTGGCAATTCAGCTAGTGAAAGGACTTCAGAACGACTGAGATTTGAATAATGGTGTGACTTGATTAGATCTGTGCATTAGGAAAATCACCTTGGCACCTATGTGTAGGATGAATTGTAGAGGGGAGAGACTTCAAGTAGAGAAACTGAGTAGGATACTGTTGTTGTAGTCCATGATGACTCACCAGCCCTTAGGTGATGAGGGCCTTGAACTAGCCTAGTGGTTATGTGAGTGGAAATAAGTGATGAGAGAGGCTGTAGACTTTGAATCCACAGCATTTAGAATTTGATTTGGTATGTTAAGTGAGGCAGCTTGGTGGCTGCTTAGTGGATAGAGTACTGGGCCTGGAGTCGGGAAGACCCGAGTTCAAATCCATTATCACCTGAGCAAGTCACGTAACCCTGTTTGCCTCAGTTTCCTCATTTGTAAAATGAGCTTGAGAAAGAAATGGCATACCACTCCCATATCTTTGCCGAGAATACCTTAAATGGGATTAACAAGAGTTGGCCACAGTTGAAATGACTCAACAACAAGAAATGATAAATATCAGTGGATTCATTAGAAGTTACTTTTTCTAAATGCTATCTTGTTTTTAGTCATCAGTGCAGAGAAAAATCCTTGTTAGGCTAGTACAATTCCTAATTCTATCAAGTTTGTCATCGTTGTGAATGTTTGTAATTTCCTCATTTTGAGGAAAAATTTATTTTGTTTTCATGGACTAATAATACCTTTTAACCTTTTTGAATAAACCAAACTTGTCTGTTTCAAATCATTCTGTTAGAACATTTGAAACTTACAGGTTATTTTTAAGCTTTATTAACTGTTTTATGTTGCTATACTTATTAAACTCCCAAAATAGAGTTGAAAAACAAGGTACTATTTAAGTAAATTTTGAATTCATATGGATAGTTTGTATAATTAATTGAAAGTATAAAAATTGTTACTAGTTTAGTTATAAAGTGAATGTTAAAGTTAAATGAGTTTGTCTTGTACCAGGTTTATTTATGCCAAATCATTCCTCTGTATTATTGTATTATCTAATCATGAGGTGATTATTTTGGGATAACTTTTTGTTTCTGCTTATAGAGAAAAATCTTGATTAAATGTGAAAAGGAAGAAAAAATGTCCTTCTATATGATGCATTTTATATGTAAGAAGAATTAAAAAATTGTTTTTACAATTTTTGGTTTTATATCTCTTGCATTTCAAACTGTATCCCTTCTTTCCTCTTCCAGGTAGTCATTGAGTATAACAAAAAATTTTTTTTGAGAGAAAAGTTTATCCAAATCAATTGGCACATCAAAAAATTCTGACTTTTATGTAATATTGTATGTTTTTGTATCCCCACTTTTGCAAAGGTTGGGGGAATAGAGGAAGATATCTTCTCAAATTTCAGTAAACAAGTATTTATTAAATGGGTGCCAAGCACTAGAGATAGAAATGTAAAACATGATTCCCTGTCCTCATGGAGCTTACATTCTAATGGTAGAGATAATATGTAAACAACTAGTTACTTACACGCACACACTCACTCTTGAGAAGGCACGGCATTAGTATCTGGTGGGACAGGAAGGAATTACATGGAAGATGATACATACAGTGTATAGATGGATTAGAGTAAGGGGAATGGATAGCAAGGAAAAGCCATTAGTGGCTAAGGTGATAGAAAAGACCTCCTGAAACAGGTGGAATTTGAGCTGAATCTTAAAGGAAGTCAAAGAAGTTTAAGAGTCAGAGGTGAGAAGGAAGAGCATTCCTAGTATGAGGGACAAGCAGTTGCCAAGGAAAACTGGAAATGGGGTATAATGTTTGAGGAAATGCAAGTAGGCCAGCATTCTTGTGATGAGAGAGGAAACTATAAGAATTCATCTCTTCTTTGGGGCCAAACTTCTTTGTAATTTCACAGCTTTCACGTTCAGTTGTTTTGTGGTGTATGTTCTCTCCATTTTAAGTTTTTCTGTTACATTTGTATACCATAGTTTGTTTTGCCATACCCCATTTGATGGGCATCTACTTTGTTTCCAGTTCCTTGCTGTCACAAAAAATGCTGATAAAAATATTTTAGTGTATATGGAACCTTTTTGTCAATGACTAGGGATATATCCATAACATTGGACTCAGGATCAAGGGGTATGAACATTTTAGTCACTTTATTTACCTAATTCCAAAAATTGCTTTCCATAATGGTTCTATTAATCCACAACTCCACCAAGAATACATTGGTGTATCTGTCTTTTCATAATCCCTCCAACATTAACTATTTTATCTTTCGTCGTCTTTGCCAGTTTGCCAAATGTGAGGTGAAACCTCAGAATTATTTTGTTTTGCATTACTTAATTAGTGATTTGGAGCATTTTTATATGGTTGTTAACAGTTTTCACTTCTTTTGAAAAGTGTTTATATTCTTTGACCATTTCATTATTGGGAAATGGCTTTTGTATTTATGTCTGTCTAAAAATCTTGGATATATACATTTTATTAGATGGTAAGGTGAGTTTAAGGGATCCAGTTAGAAAGGTGGATGTTTAAAAAATATTTTATTTTTCATTTATGGTAGGATAGTTTTCAGTGACAAGGTCAATTTGGTTGGATAGTATATGATCTTTTGTGGAAGTGATGAACACTGATGTTTTCTCTCTACCTGCTGAGGTCGATTTATTTAAAACCATTTCTAGTCTTAAGGAATTTTATAAAGAAAACAGACTGTTAATGAATGAAAAATTTCTTTATATTCTGTTATATTTTTCTAGAAGGCATAGATAAATTTTACTAAAATAATAAATTTGGAATCAGTAGTTGTCATTTTTTCTTGGTTTATATTGGAGGTCAGCTCTAAAATATTGCATTCATTATCTTCTTGGATAGTAGATTTTTTTTTCTTGTTTTCCTAACTTGATATCTTTGGCTAGGGTACTCAGTTAATGAGTAACTCACAGAAAGGAATTATCAAAATTAATCACTTTAATATTAAATTTGAAATTAATTTAAAAGTAATGTTTCTGGGCTCACTTAAATATAAAGTAAAATAAAGGAAATTGGACTTGAAAGATCTTTAGGAAGTCATCCAGCCCTATCTATTATTGATTTGACAAAAAGCAGTTATATGTGAGACAAATGTGATTGAATCTTAAAGCTGATTAAAGTTGAGATATAATGCAAGTTTAGCTTTTGGAGAAAAAAACTTTACTAAAGGACTTCTGGTAAGCCTTTACTGAGTTTCTGCTTTGTGCAGAGCATCATACTGACAAAAATGGAGCAAGAGTGAAGTTTGTATCATAACAATTTTTTTAAAAAGTTCTAGTTGCTTATTCTAGTTCTTTTGAATGAGAAAACTGATTTTATACAATTATATTGATTTTGCTATCCCCTCTTGACTGTACATAATTGATATAATTTTAAAATGAATATTTTATAGATCTTATGAGGCGCCAAGAAGAACTGAGACGTTTGGAAGAACTTCGAAATCAAGAGCTTCAGAAACGCAAGCAAATACAGTTGAGGTAAATGGTGATTTTTTTTTTAAACAAATGAATTCCTACTTCAGCATAATGTTTGAACTTTAAGATATGCTTGAATATTTTTAGAAATAAAAATACTATGTAAAACCTGCTTGCAAAATTTGGGGAAAGTAATGGTTTAATGGATAAAAGAATTGTGTAGATAGTACTGAGGGCTGTTCTTGATTCATTTGCTGGCTTGAAAGAAATGAAAAATAAGTGAGAAGGATGAGATTCTCAACATCTGTTCATGTTTATAAATTGAGTGATTTCCCAGGTCTTTGAATTAAAACTTTAAAATAATTTTTTTCTTTGTGCTATGACAAATGATGTATATGAAACGTGTGTGAAACTACTTTCTAAGACTTTAAAATATCATAGGAACATTGGCTGTTGAATCATCAAGTTATTTATTGGAAAGATTTAAAGGGATTTTAATATCTCTTTGAGTACTTTAGCTTTTCGAGGAAATTGGTAAAGTCAGCATTTGGTTGTATTTAATATACATTTGATTTCAGTGATGACAGAAATAAATAATACATGTTCCCTGATGTCGTAGTAGTATCTTAGAAGTTTATATGGGCAGTTGTGATGTAAGATTGAATATATTAAGTACCATTAGGCAAACAAAAATGTTTTGACAGGGAAGGCAGATATTACAGTCTTAGGGGAAGATGGAAAGAAGGCTTGGTTTGAACAAGAACTTGAAAGGACAGGTAGGCAGGGGAGAAAGAACAGAAATACTTAGGCAAAGGCATAGAGGTATGGAAAGCACAGCTCCTATTTACTTCATTTTAGCCATTTAGTTCTTAGAGTCTCATGATAGAAGATAAGTCTATAATCAATCTTCAGCTGTATTTGCTTGCTACGTTTTCTTTAGATCACTGTCTTGGTATGTGGTAGTTCTACCCTCTACAACCCTTCAGTCTTTTCCCATCTGCTTCTTCATTCATGTCATGTATTGTGAAATATTTCAAAGAAGATTATCTTAATAAGTGGTTGATTGCTTCTGTAATATACTCATCACATATAAAATCCGACTTTCAAGTGTAACCAAATACATAGAAGGAAATTTTTAGTTGGTTGCTATTATGATGGAAGAAGAAATGCTTTGTTCCTGCATATGATTGAAGTGGTGTTGTATTCATCTAATCCAAAAGAATGTTCTCCAGGAATTATCATATGGTTGGTTTTCCTTACTTGATGTGACTAGTCCTTAGCATTTACAGTAGTGACCCTAGTCTGATACCTTTCTACATTCTTTTTAAATGATGTAGTTTTGGCATTTATAGGGAGTCAATTAGCATAAGCAGACATGTCAGTAATTTTTTAAAAATCACACAAGCCATGATAGGTGCTATGACAAAAGAAAATGTGTTTTTGCTAAAAATCTCAAAAGCAAAGATCTGGAAAAGGACCTATTTAAAATTATCACAATCAAATATCTTAAGACCCAGAGCTAATGTTATTTCAAATGGAAAAACACTAAGTTTCCAATGTAAGTACTGAGGGAAAAACTCTTTCTTTGCTTTTATTTCCCGTAGAACTAGAATTCCCAGCTAGTTGATAATGGGGAAGAGAGGAATGATTGCAAAGATGTGGAAATGTAGCATAAATCTTCAACACTGATTGTATTTTAGTTATGAGGGAGAGGGAAGAGTTAAAGATAATGTTAAATTTGGTGTGAGTATTGGGGTCTGGTGGTGGTTAAAACAAAAATAGACATTTTTGAGGAATTGAGAGTGAGGAAAAGAATTGTGTGTTTTCTGCGTTCAGTTGTGGTTATGCCATTTTTCCTTATAAGTAGAGGCTATTTATTTATTTCTTCTCTGCTTAATGAGTTTAAGTCACCAGAGTAAAGGAATACATGCTTAGTAATAAGAGTTGCTACAAGATGTAAGTAGTCAGATGAAATGTTACATCATGAGATAGAATTCACAGTATTAAGAGATTAATATGTGATCCTTTAGACATGAAGAAGAACATCGTCGTCGTGAAGAAGAGATGATACGTCATAGAGAACAAGAGGAACTTCGAAGACAGCAAGAAGGATTTAAACCAAATTATTTGGAAAATGTAAGTAGAATATTAGTTAAGTAAAATGGTAATCTTCCGACAGGAGTATGACACTTGATACAAGCTATAATAATATCTGATTTATTCCTTCAATAGGTATTTCTTTATAGCGAGAAGTAAATTTTCTTTCCAGTGTTCTTACCTCCATGAAAATACTTTTATGAGGGTGGTGTCCTATTAGGCATTTCTTTTCATGACTTCTTTATTTCTATTACAAGTTGAATTTACAGCATTTTACTGATTGCTATTATAATTAGTATTAATCCTTATGTAATTGTGCAGAGTCCCTCTTTTCTACTTGCTTTGTCTGTTACTTACCAGACATAACAGAAAGTCCTTTTTTGGCTGTTCTACTCAACAATTTTTGTAAGTTTTTCTGTGACAAAATTTAATATGGATTAAAAATGATTAAATACATTTTTTATATTTTGACAACTTCCAACTACCATTTATATTTTAAAATCGAAATTATTCCACATGTTTCTAATTTGATAGAAATAAATTTTAGGAGTTTTAAATGAATATAATATTGGCTGTATCATGATTTTAAAACTTTGCTAATGAACTGTGTAAATTTAAAGACAGCTTGGGGCTCTTTGCAGCTAAATATATAGTTAATGTTTTACCAGTTTAGCTTTTTTTCAAGTCCATATTATTCAACTGAGGTAACATTTTGATACTTTTACAGGTCTTTTTATCGTGTTTTAAAAAAATATACAGCATTTGTAAAAAGGAAGCTTTTAAAATATTTTATTAGATTTTTCAAATTTTTGCTTTTGTTTCATGTAAGGAGAAAACACAAACTTGTATAGTTAAGTGGTTTCTTTTAATAATTTTAAATCAAAGTAAAGATAATATTATATAATATAGTAAATGGTACTTTTTTGTTAATTTTAAAAAATTACATTTTGGAAAAATGAATGCTATCTTTTGAGTCGAGCCTAAAATAGTCAGCTATAAACCACTTAAAATGTGATTGATGTTTGATATGTATCATTTTATCTTTTTGTTTTCCTTGAAGCCTATCGTAAGGTGTTTCAGAAGTGATAACATCAGTTAAGTTTGTCTTTATTGACAGTAAGTGATAGTTTTGAGGATATTATTCAGCAATGGAAAGGATGTCAAAGCAGTATTTGAATGTTGTCTAAGAATAGAAAGCAATGGTATAAATAGTATTTACATCATATGCTTTTAACTAATGTTAATTTATTCAGCTTTAAGCTGCCTCAATATATTTTGACCTTAAATCAATAGAATCTAGAATTTTAAAAATAATTCCATACTTAAAATTTCTGGCTAATGTCAATGTTTGCAAATAATACCTTATTTCAAAGGAGTTATCATTTTGATGTTTTGCTAAAACAATATAGTTAAACGAAGAAATAGCTTTACATTTTTAGAATTGTTTTAAGATTGAAAAAACATCAATTATCCCGTTTTGAAGTATTAAAGCATAATAATTTAAATATTTTAAAATCTTACCTGACATTAACTATCACTTCTATTTTAAAAAAAGGAAATTTCCCTATACAGACATTTTAAATAGTGATTGTCTTCTAGAACTGATATTCAGTTTGCTGTTTTGCATAGTAGCATAATTTTACATTATTGTATGTGCCTTTGTATAGCATATACATTCATAAAAAACAGACTTTTAGAAGAACCATATTCTCTTCATTAGCCTTGTTCATTTTCTTGGCTAAAATGGCTTCATTTGTGAGTATGTATAAATATGCAGTCATGCATAATGAGTCATTGAAAAGTGTAAAATATATTCACATAAAATTTTTCTGATCTTAAATTTTCTGACTAAAACAGTATTTCCTGTAGTATATAATTATAATTTAATTTTAATGCTATGACATTAGAATTAAATAGGAAATTATGTTCTTATATTTTTTATATTATTAAAAGTGAATATTTAACTTAATGTGTATCACTAAAGTGGTTTTTCTCTGCCTGGTACCATTATCTTTTGAATGGAGAATATTTTCTATAACTAACAATAATTACTAGATCTTCCAGATTTCTTACCAAGATAAAGATATGTAGTTACAATTTTTATATCTACTGTTGACTCATTATAGAAGAATTGTATTTGAAAAGTATTGGTAAATGTTCTGAATGATTTTGTTTTTTAAAACTTTGAAAGTAGGCCCTCATGTGCTATCTTATTTCTTCATTGTTCAGTTTTAAAAGGAGAGGAACCAAATGGTAAGTTCTCAGGTTGAGTTAAAACCTCCAGTCTTGGGTGATTTGTTTTTGTTTTTGTATAATAAGCTCCTTTCCCTTTTTAAAAATTCATAACTTGTTCCTTTTGTAAAGTAGTACTTCTTTATACTTTGATTTGTATTCTGTGTTGCAGAAATGTCTATAAATTGTTACTTGTGGTATTAAACTTTCTCCATTGCTGTAAGCTTTTTCACAGAATATATGAATAACTGAAACCTAATTTCTTACAGGAACCATCTGTCTTTCTAACTTGGCTTAGTTTTTTTTCCTTTTGAGGTAATGAGGAACAAAAAAAATCCTCACGTTTTTACCCCCCCCCCCCCCAATTTTTTTTTGATGGCCTCCAGTGTTGGTCTTAAAGCCACTGTTTCATGTTTCTCAGTGACTATGTTTTGAAGATTTGAATGAGATCTCAAAGATAAGTAAAAGTCATATTCCTAAGTTGTAATTCATATTTTAAATTTTCTTATGACCCAGGGATGTGTCCAAGGTTTTAACTCTTAAATGTAAAGATCTTATGTAAAACATCTTCTCAATTTCTCTTGGACAAGAAAAAACAAGCCACAGCATAATCCTAGGTTTCATGGTGTTTGCTCAATGATGAGAATTTTTTTTCCTTATTTCATATTCTCTGATAATTTTTCCCACAGTCTTGAATGAATTGAATCAGATTTCTAATTAAGTTTTACTGGGTTCATATGATTTGCTCATTTTGCAAAAATGCAGGCATTTTGTGAGCGTAAGGTTTCTTAAAGAATGTCTTCCTGCTACATTAATCTTGTGATGTACTAAATATATTACGTGCTTGTTTATACACAGTGTGTTTGAAGCATTGAACCTATTTGGAAACTGAGAGTGTTTTGGTAGGAATTATGGGAGGACATTATAAGGGAAAAAAGAAAAGTAAAGGCATTTTAATCCTGGGAAATGAGCATTCTTGTAGTGCCTTTTCAGTTGGCAAAAGTAATGTTTGCAAAAGCCACATTAACAAGAAAGATAATATACATGTAAATTAGCATTTTCACATGAAATGCCAGAATCATATGGATGGCGGGGTGTGGTGCTTCAATTAAAAGAAGGTAGAGGGAGTAAGGATAATTTATTTTTGACATGATATAAAAGCTTATGATGGAGATACTCCTGTCATTTGTTTTTCAGCAGTGAAGAGAATATTACCTCATTTTCAATTTACAAGTGTCTGTTTTAAAAGTTAAATAAATTTCTCTTTGAGTTTCTGGCCCTATTTATTAGTGCCTGTGCACTATTCATCATAGATATTACTTCATCTGCAATTATGTATTATTTATGTGGACAGTTCATAGTTTAAGTTAATAGCTATTTTTATAAATCTTGTAACCTATATTAGTGGTTATCTTTGGAGAAAATTTGAAAAAACCTTCTGGCATAATAATATTTTATGTCCTATTATGTCAGTGAAAGTTGTCAAGAACTAATTAAATATATGGAATAAGGACCAATTGGACTTTTTTCTTCTGCATTGTTAATTATTTGTCAGATAACTATTGTGTTTTAGATGTTAATTCTTCAACAATCTAATTTCATTGATTCTGGCACAATTTCCCATCAACTCTGTATTTAGAAATTTCATTGTTCCCCTACCACTCATCCCCTCAAAAAATCCATCCCTTTGTAGTTAATTTTTATGGATTAGTGGAAATTCTCAAATGATGGTGATCATGGAACAACAAAGAATGTAATCCTTCTCAGGTCTTGTATTTTTCTAAGGTTTATGTTGTCATAACATAGACTTTCTACATATGCTTTGAGAGCTCAATCTCTTTGTCATAGTGAGTTAAGTCATTGGAATAGAATTTAAATAGAAGTATGCTAGGTATTAAGGGTAAGTATTTTTTGATGGTTTACTTAAATATGAAGCATGACTGAAGCATAATATCATTTTCATTTTTTATTGTTTCTGGCATTCAAATACTTAAAACATTTTCCCTTTGAATTTTTGAGCAGGAAACATTTTTAAAGGGATTGTTGTTGAGACACAAATGGCAATTTGACTTTCAACATAACTTGCTAAAAATTGCTTTTGAGAGCATCTTCACCTTTCATTTTTTATACAATTTGAAATGTTGATCATTGAGGACAGATGGTAAAGCAGTCTTCTTTTAGAGGTGTTATGTCAAAATGGTTTTTAGAGGTTCTTAACTAATAGTTTTTTGTAGGTTTCTAACCTGAATTTGTAATTTGTGGCAAATAAACTTTAGTTGGATGTGTAAAATTTCAAACTAGTTCTTGGAAATGAGATCAAAATGAGAAGCTGAACACTGAGCCTTAATTGTTATTGTAATTAGTCTCAATATTCCTGTCATAATAGTCATTGAGATCCCAAGATGCTAGTCAAAATGGATGGTATTGCTACAAGTCGAATTTTGGTGGTGGGTGGGTTGAAAATGATGATGGTGACATAACAAAGTAGAATGGTTGCCTTGCACAGTTTTGGTCCTATGATCCCTCTACCTCTTAAAAAGTGTTCTTGTTTTTGCTGTAGTTTTAAATACATACACATATATACGTACGTACATACATACATACACATACATATATATACACACATACCTACACACATGTATATGTTACATGTATGTGTGCATATATTGAGTTCTTGTAGTATAGTTTGATTTCTCATGAAATGCCTTTCACATGTTAATACTGATTTAGGAAAAAAAACTGCATTTAAATCCAAAAGAGTGGAGTCCAAATACAGTTTTTCCTTTATTCTCAAGTTTTTTTACTGG